GTATTGATCGTCTTGAGTAAGGTTCTTTGACTTTCCACCTTGAGTGTAGTCAGTTGAACTGGAGATGATAGGTGCAATCTATTTTCTTGCAATGGCAAAGTGCATTGCCTAAACCAATGTTGTTTGATTTGTCCATAAGGCTTTCAACTCCCCCCACTAAGCTGTGGAAGTGATTGCCTATTTTTGTCGTCGACAAAAATACACCACGTGAAATGATGGAAAACATTTACATTTTTGCTCTTGTTTTCCATCATTTTGTTTTATTTTCCAAAAATATAGTGCAATTATTACATTATAATACATTATATAGAATCTATGTATATATCTATATATATTTATATATTTGTCTAGGCTTGGTAGGTGTGTTACATTGCTGGATCCTACTGTAGAGAGGATAACCCCCCCTTCTTGTATCTCCTTCTCTTTCCTAGTGTCTCTCTTTTTCTATCGTCAACTTTCTCCTAGCACCTAAACCCTCACGCCATTTCCATGGCTTCTCTCCTAACCTAGCGTCTCGACATGGTTTCAGAGCAGTCCCCTTTCCTTCGGACCTTCTCCTCATGCTTCCACAGCATACTCCCCCCCCCCCCCCCCCCACCCCCCGTCACGCCGTGCTGGCCTCGTCATTCCGCGCTGGCCCCGTCATGCTGCTCTGGCCCCGTCACGCTGTGCTGGCCCCGTCACGCTGTGCTGGCCCCGTCACTCCGCGCTGGCCCCGTCACGCTGTGCTGGTCCCGTCACTCCGCGCCGGCCCCGGCACTCCACGCGGGCCCCGTCACTCCGCGCTGGCCCCGTCACTCCGCGCGGGCCCGGTCACGCCTCGCCGGCCCCGTCACTCCACGGCGGCCCCGTCACTCAGCGTCGGCCCCGTCACTCCGCGCCTGCCCCGTCACGCCGCGCCGGCCCCGTCACGCCGCCGTGCCGCTGCGCTGCCGAGCCGCTGAGCCGTGCCGTAGTGTCTCCGTCACCGCCATGGCACCGTGCCACGGTGCCACTACGCCACCGTGCTGCCGTGCTGCCGTACCGCAGGGTCGCCGTGCCGCCGTGCCGCCGTACCGCAGGGTCGCCGTGCCGCCGTGCCGTCGTATTGCCGTGGCAGCTTTGCCGCGCCAGCGCACAGACGGCTGCGGCCAGCGCCCTGTCCTAGGCACCAGCTGTGACGCCCTCACGCCAGTAAGCGCCGCGCCAGCCATGGCGCCTCCCTGAAGATTCGCCATTCGCCCCCCCACCTTCCTCTGCATTTCCCTTTCTCCCCGCTGCAGCCGATGGCTGTCTCGCCCCGTGCGGCCCCGTCGCTGCTGAGCCGGGCCACGTCGCCGGGTGCCGCGGTCTCCGTCACCGCCGCCGCTGCCATCGAAGCCACCGCCGCCGTCGAAGCCACCGCCGCTGTCGAAGCCACCGCCAATGCTGCAGGTGCCGCTGGCTCCACCGCCACCCGCTGTCGCAGCCGCCGCTGTCGTCGTACCAGCGCGACGCCGCCGCCGACGTTGCCGCCGCAGCTGCCCCCGCCGTCGACGTCGTCGCCTCGCACGTCGAGAGGTCGACCGGGCTGAAGAAGCCACCGCTGCTGCAGGGCATGGGGGTGCAAGGGTTTGGGGTTGTGGTGTGTGGGGTGGGCTTTCGGCTACCAATCCTAGGGGGCGTGTCAAATTAGATATATTCTATATATGTTTTTGTTTAGGCTTGGTATGTGTGTTTCATTGCTGGATCCTACTGTAGAGGGGATAACCCCCCCTTCTTGTATCTCCTCTTTCCTATTGTCTCTTTTTTTCTCTCGTCTACTTTCTCCTAGCACCTAAAACCCTTACGCCATTTCCATGGCTTCTCTCCTAACCTAGCGTCTCGACAGTTTCGATTACTCCCTTCCACGTATTGGGAAATGATGGAAAACATGAACTCTTTTCCATCATTGTTTCGTTTCAAGTACTGTGTCGTAGTATTGATATGACACATGTTTCAATAATTTGCCAAGCGAAGCTAATGAAGCTATGTAGTTTAGATGAGCCATCCACAATATATTGCCAATATTTCCCATCATTTTGCTTCAATTAGTATCCAAATTTTTATTAAAACTCGAAAAAAAATCTTGCCCGATCGATCGGAATAGGTTGCTCCGCAACCCAAAAAAAACTGGTCATGGGTGTGAAATTTGCGACAGTGTACTCCATGTATGGAAATTGCGAGTGGTTTTGTCACCCAGCTGTTTTCGGGGGGTTAAAATACTGTGGGGGATTTGGCGGCTGGCATGAAGTGGCACTTGTTGTCCCAAATTGCAAGCAAAATCCCTGTTGCATATCTAGAATGGGACAGGGGTTCAATGAATCGAGGGGTTGGGGTAGGGAAGGTCGATCCGATGGTAGGAACTCAATGGCACAAGAAGAGCCACATTACAAATCGCTTTCAACCGTTAAGGGTTTGGCCCAATGAGGGTTTTCTCTCTCGATTGTAGCGAAGAGAGGGTTGGGCCCTTTTTTTTCTGGGTAGCCATAAAGTGCGGTCCGGGACAAACTGGGCCTAGTTTAGTCCCAGCTTGAATCATTTGGGACTTGGGCCTGAAGTGCAGTACTACTACCTCAAACTACCATGCGTGTCATTTCAAGTTCAATGTTTCGGTGATGGACTGTGGATATTTTTGGGGGGGGGGGGGGGGGAGATGGTTTCTCCACAAAACAGAAGTTGTGCCGTATGGAATTGCCATGACATGAAGACCTTCTCGTCTCTTTCAGCAACATCGGCAATCAATCAAGTGGCAATCGTGCGCCCTTGTGTTTACTTGGCTTCTGTAACCATGGAGGCATGGGCATGGCTCGAGAGGATTCGCTTGATAAAATTGCTTGATAGGAAGTTGAAAGCTTGGCACAGTTTCTTCTCTGTCCATTTGAAGGTCAACAATACGTAAGCTGTGTCACTCCCATCCGACCTATGCTCCGTGGAGACATGGCATAAATATTTGGTCATCCCCATGCTAAGGTGCTCTGCATGGTGTCTTCGAAACAGCTTGTCGATGGAGTTTCCCTTACTCCCAATCCAGTCATCAAGCTTGAGTGTGTTGCACATGTTGAGGGAAGGATGACTCGGGCTCCATTTCCTCCAAGCTCTACATCCTTTGCTTCCACAACCTTGACCCTTGTCCACACCACACGGATCATTGTGATCAACGTCCAAGGGTGGCACCCGGTGCTTTCTCACGCTTCTTGATAACGCCACTCACATATTTTGGGTATATCCTCTTTGTATCAAGGACGAAGCACCCGGCGTTCTCAAGACTTGGATCCTTGGGATTGAGACCAAGACTCTCCAACTCAAGTGCCTTCATTCCAATGGAGGCGGTGAATACACGGGCCAGCTTCTCAATCTTTGGCTCACTCACTTTGGCATCAAACATGAGTATAGTGCTTTTTGTTTGCCTCAAAGCAATCGTATCGCTAAGTGTTTGAATTAGTCTCTTCTTGATATGGTGTGATGAAGCCTTGCACTTGCTGCTGGGTGCACAACCGGTGCCCAACCAAGTGCCTCACTTCCACCACCCCCTATGAAGCTTGGCATTGTCCCAAGCCTGGCATCTCAACCTTCCATACCTTTGGGTGGTTTGCTACTTTCACACCCCTGATCATCTCCATCACAAGCTTGACATTTGCGCCCAACCTGCCATGTTTCTTGGCCTTGCCTCACAAGGCTTGGCATGTTTGGGAGTTTACTCGTACTCATCCTATTAGTGCTTGTGATGTGGCCTTCTTGAGGAGCGTTTTCAACCACCCTTCCCCTCTCCTCCCATTGTCACTATCTTTCTTGCCACAAATCGTATGGCCCTGCTTTCTCCTCCCCCTCCCCCCCTCTTCCCCTCCCCATGAGGTGGAGCTGCCATATTCTCTCACCTCGTCCTCCTCCCATCCCTCTTTTGGTTGAGAAGGAGGCTTCTTTCATGGCTTCTCCCACCTATCCTCTCCCCTCTCCTCCTCTTGCGACTCCACCCCCCAATTCCATGTCCTTTGTCAGCGCCTGTCTTTGTCCTGCCCCTCACCATAACCCTCACTTCATTTTCTTTGCTACAATGATGCGTGTGCATCTCTTTGAGCATGGCTTCAAATGGAGCAGACACAACATTTCACACTATATCATTGACAAAGAATGAGGTCATCCCTTCTTTTCTCTATGTCAATGACATGTTTTTGTTTTTGGAATGTAATGCTCATTTTTAAGAGTGCAAAGAGACACTCATGGCTGATTTGCAATGGATCTCAGTCCGGTGGCATTCTATCTTGGAGTGCATATCGTACGGGATCAATGACATTGCTCCCTCAACCTCAATCAAAGGAAATACCTCAAAGAATTTATCGAATGACATGGGATAGCGAATAGTGCTCCCACTCCTAGTACATCAAGGTCAACTCACAACCTCTCAGCACAAATGAAGATCTTGTCATGGATCATATTATTTTGGAGAAGTATCATTCTTTGATAGGTTCTTGCATGTATACAGCCGTGAGCTCCGACCATACGTTGCTTATGTGGTTGGTATGCTTGGGCATGCGATGAGTGAATAACCTACAATCCAAGCACGTTCGTTTCTCGAGACATTTACCTAGGTATCATGAGCACACAACCAACCGTGGCCTAACATAATGTTGATTGGACGATGACCGTACTATAAGGCATAGTACCTCAGGCTATGTGTTTACTCTCATGGATTTTGCAGTCACATGGAGCTCCACCGAAGACGAATATGTGGCCCTCACTCAAGGTAGGACTAAAGATGTGTGGCTCTAACTCCTTAAGGAACTTGAGCTCTGTTGTGTGATGTCATCATATGCTATCACATTCTGTCTGCCTCCCATCCCATGTTTTCAACTTGCATGTGTGGTTTGAACGTGTGCAAGAATTTGTGTGTGATGTGTTCTGGAGTTTGGGAATGTTTTTTGTATTATTTTGTTTGAGAAGGTATTTTTTTATGATAGATCTTGAGAAGATCTTTCCGACGCAACAAGAATCACTTCAATCGGAGCAAGAACGCGAAAGCTATGAAGATTCAAAGTTCATGAGCTTGCGTTACAATTGTGGCGGTTACAAAGTGAAGTTGTGGGGTGACTCTATATGGAGTTGGGACCTTTGGGGTTGGGGACATTTGTCACTCTACTGTAACAGCTGCAAATTGGTTGGGAACAACCAAGCTAGGTTGGCAAGGGTGGCCAACTTGGATGGATTGGTTGGGAAGGGACAAATGTCAAAGTTGGGGTTCCTATAGGGGGGGAATCTTTGTGCTTATGGGGTTTCCTTGGTTGGGGACTCTCTTGGGACCTTCCCTCTCGTCCCTCTCTTCTATCCCAACCTTTCTCTTGCTCCTCTAATTTCCTTGTGAGATTCTTGAACTTTGATTGAACTTTTGAGATTGAGTTAAGTTCTCCTCCTACAGCTTACCCCCTAATTCGTCGAAAGCCATAGCGTCGCGAATACTTCATCAATCAACGTGATTCAAATTGGGAACGGTAGCTGAAATTAAGAGCTACAACATATCCAAGTTTCGCGACATTCCAAAGGCTAGTATTTCGTCGACGTCGTTTCTTGTGAAGACGACTTTTCTGTCCAGAATTTCGGATTTATATTTTGAGTAATTCTAGCTCCTAAGTTCACCTAGACTCCGTCCTTAATCCTAACAAGTGGTATCAGAGCGATATTAAGGACATTGAGAGGATTCTACAGAAGTGTGAAGACCCTTCTAGACCCACCATGGCCTGTGGGTGTGCCTAAGTGGTGTTCTAAAGGTTGGACGTGTCTTCCGCTAAGGGGAAACTCTGCCGAAATTTCGTGGACGCCGACACTTGTGAAAATATCGAGGGAGCTGAGTGTGGACAGCAAAGGGGAGCTGAAATTCGTCATTTCTCAAGGAGAAGATGAATGAGAGAGGAGGAGATGCTAATGGAAGAGGAGCTGTACCTGAGAAGACAAGTGAGCCGCCGCCATCAAAAGTTGAAGCTTTGGATGGCTCCAACTATGAGGAATGGATTGGACGGATGAGGAGTGCCTTCAAACGCTACAAGCTACTGAAGATTGCTGTTGGGGAAGAGAAGATGCCGGAAGAAGGCGAAGCACGCGAACGGTGGATTGAGAAAAACGCGGTGCTTTTCGACCTCATCCTTCAATAGGTCAACAAGGAGATGTTCGAGCACATCAAGGATCTTGTGGAAGCGGATGATTCGGGTCCAAGGGTGTGGAAACTATTACGTGATGTGATTCAGCCCAACACTCTCCCTATGGTGATCGTGCTCGAGAAGGAACTTGCTGCCATCTCCATGCGACCAGGGGACGATGTGAAGCCGGTCCTTGACAAGATCAAGGACACCTATGCAAGGATGGCAGCAGCGGGCAGCAGTGTATCTCAGCTGCAGCAGTGCACCAAGATCATCTCGGTGTTGGACAAATCTTGGGACAACCTCATCCCCACCCTCAACTCTCAGCAAGATCAATGGACACCTGAGTGGCTAAGACAGCAGATTCTGCAGGAGGACTTCCGCAGACGCCATGTCGGAGGTGGTGCTTCTACTAAGACTGCTGAGGGGTATGGAGCTGCAGGGCGCGGCAGAGGAAGAGGGGGTTGGAGAGGCCGAGGCCGTGGGAGGAGCTTTGGCAGAGGTAGAGGCCAAAGTGACTATAATGAGGGGCATGGGAGCTCTAGTGGTAGGGGGAGTACCAGAATGGAGGGCACCTGCTGGTACTGCAAGAAGGTTGGGCATCCTTGGTTCAAGTGCTTCAGCAGGCCGGAGGGATGGGCACCTCCAGGCATGAAGCCGCCCAATGGTGAACGCGCACAAGGTGGCGCTGTGCAAGGCTCAGGTGCACAAGGTGAAGGTGCACAAGGTAATGCCTATCTTGGGATGTTTCTCATGGTTGAGGATGTGCATGGGCATGAGGGTGATGTGGGATCTGTGGGAAAGGTTGTGATGCACCCTCTCACGCACTGGGTGATTGATTCGGGTTGCACCAGTCACATGACCCCACGGGCAGATTTGCTTGATGAGGTAAAACCCCCTGGGAAGATTAAGTATGTGGCAGCAGTGTCAGGTGCTTTGCTCCCTGTGATTGGTGTTGGAAATGCCAAGGTTAAGGGAGCTAATGGGGAGCTTGTGGGGCTTGGGAATGTTCTGCTAGTTGAAGGTTTGTCTGCTAACCTTCTCGCAGTGCGACGACTGCAGAAGAGCAAGGCCGAAGTGACCTTTGGACCAACCAGCTGCCGTGCTAAGCTTGGGAAGAAGGTGTTGTGGAGTCTGGAAGAGGAGACCAGCTGCATCAAGGATCTGTGGCAGCTGCCCATCATCCCTTGGAATGGGAAGACTCCAACAGCAGCAACGGCAGCAGCGGCAAAGGCAACAGCAGGAGGAGATGCAACTGCACCAACTGATCGGGTCCTAGAAGCATTCAAGAAAGAGCAGCAGACACATGGTGAGGTGCTTGCTGGTGTGGATGCGAGTGCGGCATGGGCTAAGGCTTCATCAAGGAGTAGAGAGGCCGATTGGGAGACATGGCATGAGAGGCTGTGTCATGTGAACTTCCCTATGCTGCAGAAGTTGGTGAAGGATGGGAGCCTGAAGGGCTTGGAGGTGAAAGGGGGAGTGAAGGAGATTGGGAGCTGCCCTACATGCTTGGAGATCAAGTTCTCCAAGTTCCCCTTCAACAGCACTACAGGACCAGCCAAGACCCCACTTGCACTTGTGCACATGGATGTGGTGGGGCCCACAAGAGCCCCTTCCCTCTCAGGCAGCCGCTATTTCTTGACAATTGTGGATGACCACACTCGGGCAGTGTGGGTTTACCCTTTGAAGAGCAAGGGGGAGGTGGCAGTGGCTGTCCTTAAGGAGTGGATGCCTAGAGCTCAGGGGGAATGCGGACACAAGGTGAAGGTGATCCGCAGTGACAATGGTGGGGAGTTCATTGGAGCTGATTTTGAGGGGGAGTTGAAGAGGAAGGGGATCCAGCATCAACTGACAGTGCCCTACAACCCGCAGCAGAATGGCGTGGCTGAGAGGTTCAACAGGACCCTGCAGGAGGGGGCACGCACTCTCCTTGGGCGTGCAGGGCTGCCTGATCCGTTTTGGGTGTCTGCACTGAGGCAGGTCGCCCTTGTGAAGAACAGGGTGCTGGCTACAGTTGGGGATAAGGAGTGGATCCCATATACCAAGTGGTATGGGAGTGCTCCAGCTGTGAACATGCTGAGGGCATTTGGGTGCATGGTGGTGTTTCATGTGCCCAAGGAGAAAAGGGGGAAGTTGGAGGCTTCTGGAAGATGGGGTGTGCACTTGGGGATTGCAAAGGATCACAAGGGGTGGCTGCTATGGGACTTGACCACCCAGAAGCTGACAGTGTCAAGGGATGTGAAGTTTCTTGAGTCCCTGTACTACAAGGAATGGAAGCAGCAGCAACAGAAGCTTCCATCTACACCGCTCATTGTGGAGGCAGATGAGGTGCAGCGGCCTTCAAGACAGGTGGAGGTTGCAGTGTCTGAGGAGGAGATGTCTGGGGTGACTGAGGAAGGGGGAGCAGCTGAAGTGGAGCAGCAGCAGCAGCATGAGTCTCCATCTCGAGTTCCACACCCACCTGAGCGACCTAGGAGGGATGTGCGCCCTCCAGTGAGGCTGACCTATGGGGGAAGAGGCAAGCCGAATGTGGTGCAGGCTGGGAGTGTGGTTGAGCAGATTGAGGAAGATGAGATCGCTCACTGCTACTGGGCACCAATCCCTGAGCCCAAGACTCGAGAGGAGGCCTTGAATGGACCAAATGGGGAGAAGTGGAAGGCGAGTGAGGATGAGGAGTTCGGGTTCCTGATTGAGAACGAGACATGGGACCTGTGTGACTTGCCTCCTGGGAAGAAGGCAATCACTTCCAAGATGATCTACAGGCACAAGTATGGACCTGAAGGGGAGCTGACCCGCTACAAGTCTAGGCTTGTGGCACGGGGGTTTCAGCAGACAAAGGGGAAGGACTATGATGAGGTGTTTGCTCCTGTGGGGAAAGGAACAACATTGAGGGTGCTGTTGGCGATAGCTGCACTCCTGGGATGGAAGATACGGCAGATGGACATTGTGACTGCCTTTCTGAATGGGATCATTCTGGAGGAGGTGTACATGAAGCAGCCAGAGGGGCTGGATGATGGGAGCGGCAGGGTCTGCAGGCTGAAGAAGGCCATCTATGGCCTTAAGCAGGCGCCTCGTGCATGGTATCACAAGTTGGAGGAGGCGTTGTTGGCTGGGGGTTTCAAGAAGAGTGAGTGTGACCCCAGCCTGTTCCTGCTGCAGGAGAAGGATGAAATCCTCATGCTCTTGGTGTATGTGGATGATATCCTTCTCTTTTCTGCATCAACTGCTTTGCTGGACAGCGCAGAGCAGATGCTGGAGATGCAGTTCAAGTGTTCCAAGATGGGTGAGGTGAAGTACTACCTGGGGATGCATGTGGAGAGAGATGTGGAAAAGGGTGTGCTGAGGTTGCACCAGAGGAAGTACTGTAAGGGGCTGGCTGAGAAGTATGGGCTGCAAGATGGGGGAAAGCCAGCAACACCACTACCTTCAGGGTTTACTGTGGAGCCATGTGCTGATGAGGAGGTAGTGGGTGAGAGTGACAGGAAGCTGTTTCATTCGATGGTTGGGTCGCTGAATTATGCTGCAAATCATATACGGCCTGACATTGCATTTGCTATATCACGGTTGGCTAGTGTGGTCTCACGCCCTAGTCATGAGCAGCTGGAAGCGGCCAAGAGGTTGGTCCGCTATGTGAGCGCTACGGCATCAGTGGGATTGAAGTACAGTGGAGTGAGGCAGCGGTTGCAGAGGTGCTGCAGATGTGAAGAGTGGAGAGATGCTCTTGAGTTGCTATACTGACGCTAGCTTCAACTCAGTGAAAGCGGTTGGCACCAACATTGGGGGTTATGTGTGCTTGCTAGGAGGTGGTGCTGTGAGCTGGCGCAGCAAGAAGCAGAATGAGGTGGGATTGTCCTCATGTGAGACTGAGTACATGGCCTTACACCATGGGGTCAAGGAAGTGGTGTCGCTGAGGCGTTTGTTGGAGGAGTTGGGAGTTGGTCAGGGGGCGCCGACTGTTGTGTTTTGTGACAATGAGTCTGCTGTGAAGCTCGCCAAGAATGCTTGTCTGCATGGGCTGACAAAACACATAAGGCCAAAGTGGCATTGGGTGAGGAGACTCCTTGATGAGGAGGTGTGGCTGGAGATAGTGAAGACCCATCAGCAAGCAGCACATATTTTCACGAAGCGTCTGGCGGAGGCGGATCATTGGAAGGGCATGAAGCTTGTTGGGATGAGTGTGCATTGAGTATGCATGCTTGAGATGTTGGTATGGTGGATGATGGTTGGCAGCCAGAGGGGGAGATTGTTGTGTGATGTCATCATATGCTATCACATTCTGTCTGCCTCCCATCCCATGTTTTCAACTTGCATGTGTGGTTTGAACGTGTGCAAGAATTTGTGTATGATGTGTTCTGGAGTTTGGGAATGTGTTTTGTATTATTTTGTTTGAGCAGGTATCTTTTTATGATAGGTCTTGAGAAGATCTTTCCGACGCAACAAGAATCGCTTCAATCGGAGCAAGAACGCGAAAGCTATGAAGATTCAAAGTTCATGAGCTTGCGTTACAATTGCGGCGGTTACAAAGTGAAGTTGTGGGGTGACTCTATATGGAGTTGGGACCTTTGGGGTTGGGGACATTTGTCACTCTACTGTAACAGCTGCAAATTGGTTGGGAACAACCAAGCTAGGTTGGCAAGGGTGGCCAGCTTGGATGGATTGGTTGGGAAGGGACAAATGTCAAAGTTGGGGTTCCTATAGGGGGGGAATCTTTGTGCTTATGGGGTTTCCTTGGTTGGGGACTCTCTTGGGACCTTCCCTCTCGTCCCTCTCTTCTATCCCAACCTTTCTCTTGCTCCTCTAATTTCCTTGTGAGATTCTTGAACTTTGATTGACATTTTGAGATTGAGTTAAGTTCTCCTCCTACAGCTTACCCCCTAATTCGTCGAAAGCCATAGCGTCGCGAATACTTCATCAATCAACGTGATTCAAATTGGGAACGGTAGCTGAGATTAAGAGCTACAACATATCCAAGTTTCGCGACATTCCAAAGGCTAGTATTTCGTCGACGTCGTTTCTTGTGAAGACGACTTTTCTGTCCAGAATTTCGGATATATATTTTGAGTAATTCTAGCTCCTAAGTTCACCTAGACTCCGTCCTTAATCCTAACAAGCTCAAGCAAGATGGACCAGCTCCGACTCTCTGTGGACAACAAATCAGTAATTGGCTCGGCAACAAATGCATCAATATTGCATCCGTCAACTCATGGAAGATAAAGAGGTGAGTTACATCTTGTAAACACCACCGATCAATTGTTTTTTTTTACCAAGCCTCTTGATCATGCTCTGTTCCATGCTTGTTGTGCTCATGTAAGCCTTAGTACCTTGAGATATGGGTGTAAGGGGGAGTGATGGTACAGTATGTATAGGGGAATGCCCCCATGCCTAGGGTTGATGTTATAAACACAATAGGCTCAAATGTGCCTATAATGAGAGATAGAGAGCACAGTCGGATTTTCGTCAGACGGCTTCAAATATTGATAACGATCTGTTTGCTTAGTCAAACGGTGATCTGTAAATTGGATCTAGAGCGCGTTGCTGTTGTCTAGCAGCAGCAAGTTGAATCATGAAATTCCATGAAGATTTGACGACGCTATGCCGGTTTGACTGGCAGGAGGTACAGCAGCCTCTATAGTCTTAGGAGTACAAAAACTTACGAAGAAGAATTCGAGATGGAGATGGTTCCCAGCCTCTACATACCCCAAGAGCCGAGGTCCAGGTTGGTGGTACACCACCACAGAGTCCCCAACCATGAAGAGTCTCGAAACCAACCCTCCAAGGGGCTACACCAAGTGAAATGTAACACTATACGAAGTAGCATTACTATTTTCACTATTTAATATTTATCCGTGTCCCTTGGGCTTGAAATCTTGAGCTCTTGGTCTTGGATCTGCAAGATAAATTCTTCTTGAGTTGATGGGGGCTTGCTGCACACACCTGCGACACGATGGACACTTCACACTCGACAAAATAGAAAAAAGACATGCGACACGCAAACGACGACTTGACATGCGAGTTGTAAAAACTTGCTAATGTCTTGACCGACACAAACCACATTGTGACACACCATTCAAACACACACACAATCACTAGATAGCAATGACATAGACTCACAATTCATTCCATGCCATGCATGCACACACACAAACAAGGACGACAAGCCGAGTGCAAGCCATAGGGTTGCACCAACAAACTCCCCCTCGGATTGTTGGCCTTAGAATCTGCTCGTCTTAGTTCAGAGCCATCCCAACAAGCTTGAAACACTTCCAATGCTGCTGCTCAACCAGCCTCTTAGTCATCATATCAGCAGGCTGTGCCGTCGTCTTCACGTAGTGCAACTCCACTTCACCCGAGGTTACCATGCTCCTCACCCAATGCCACTTCACCTTCATGTGCTTGGTAAGGCCATGAAGTACCAGGTTCTTAGCCAATGCAATAGCACCCTTTTGACGCCTTTGTGCCGCCGCGGAGTATTGCACTCCAACAGTTGCTGTTTGGCCAAGGTACTTGGCCACCCTCTCTCCAGCTGCTACCTGCTCTTCATTAGGGCATTGGACAACCCTAGCCAGCTGCCCGGTAGCAAAGGCTGCATCCGGCCTTGTGTGAACGGCCGCATACATGAGGCTGCCCTCCAAGGAATGAAAACGCCGCCTCTCCTCTTCACCAACACTTTCCTCCACTGGTCCTTTCACACACTTGAACCCCGAGGGTTAGAGGAGTAGCCACATGACTTTCACTCTTCCCAAAGTTTGCAGCCAAGGCCTCCAAGTACTTCTTTTGATGCACTCGCATCCACCGCTTCTCCACATCTCGCTCAATGTGAAGCCCAAGGTAGTAGTTGACGTCACCAAGGGTCTTGCACTTGAACTTGTCTTGAAGCTTCAGCATCACCTCCTTCACAAGGTCAGAGGAGGGTGAGAATATGAGGATGTCATCCACATAAACCACCATGAAGCTCCTCTGCTCCCCCTCGCCAAGCATGAACAATGATTGATCGGCCGTTGAGGGAGTGAAGCCGATCGCCTCCAAGACTTCCCGCAGCTTGATGTACCATTGCCTAGGGGCTTGCTTGAGGCCATAGAGTGCTTTCTTCAGCTTCCACACTCTGCCACTCCCATCATTGTACCCCTCTGGCTGCTCCATGTAGGTCTCTTCCTCCAAAACGCCGTTGAGGAAGGCCGTTATGATATCCATTTGCTTCACCACCCATCCTTTGATGGCCGCCACGGCGAAGAGGGTTCGAAGGGTTGTACCCTTCACCACAGGGGCATACACTTCATTGTAGTCCTTCTTCTCTTACTGCTGATACCCCTTGGCTACAAGTCTGCTCTTGTAGCGCTCAATGTTGCCGTCGGCGTCGGTCTTGCGCTTGAAGATCCACTTGGAAGAGATCGCCTTCCGCCCCGGAGGTAGATTCACCAAGTCAAATGTGTCGTTCTCGATGATGCTCCCCATTTCTTCATCTGAAGCCTTTCTCCACTCCTTCCCATTGGGGCCCTCCCATTCCTCCTTGGGATTTGTAGGCTCCCCCGGCATCTCCACCGGAGAGAAGAAGGCAAAAGCGTACTCCTCGCTTTCATCTTCCGCATCATCGCCTAGCATGAGAGCCGAGCCGGTCAAGGTTGAGTTGGCTGGTTCTCCAAGCCGGTCATAGATCAACCTATTTGGGGGCTGAGTCTTCCTTCTCCCCCTTCCTTCCTTCTCTGCTGCAGGGACATGGATGCCCTCATGGCGTTGCTGCAAATCTGGTCGATTGCCGCGAGCACTTGTAGCACGAGGTGGAAGTGACGATGCACGCTCATCACCTTGCTGCACCTCCTCCTCCTCTTCTCCCCCATTCACTTGAGGAGATTGCCTTGTGATATTGCTGCTGCTACTCAGCTCCAAGGGCAGCTCCACATGCTCCAAGCCGGTACTCTTCACCTCTCCAAGCCGCACACCAATCTTCGCTTGGTTCTCCTCCTTCCACTCCTTGTACGGTAAGTTCTCCATGAACTTGCAATCTCTGCTCACCAGGAACTTCTTGGTAAATGGGTCCCAAAGAAGCCATCTCTTGCTATTTTGAGCCATGCCCAGGTGCACGGCCCATGTTGCCTTGGCATCAAGCTTGTTGTGCCGAAGTTTCTTAGGCACAAGTGCCATGCACATGCACCCGAACACCCGAAGCATATCCACCTTCGGCTTCCTTCCAATCCACTCCACATAGGGCACCCATTTGTCTTCTCCCACATGATTCAATGCTCTGTTCTTGGCCACACAAGCATGCCGCACCACATCCGGCCAAAAGTAATTGGGTAGACCGGCTTTAATGAGTAGTCCCCGAGCCGTCTCCGTGAGTGTCCGATTCGCACGCTCGGCGATGCCGTTCATTGCAGGAGATTAGGGCATGGTAAGAGAGTGCCTTATGCCCTGCTTCTTCAGCCAAGTTGAGAAATCCTTGCTCAGGAACTCTCCCCCACGGTCAGTGCGAATCGCCTTCACAAGCCGGTCTTGTTGCCGTTCCACCATCGGCAACCAATCGGTCTTCATCGTCTCAGCTACGTCACTCTTCTTGGGTAGCACATACACCCAGGTCATGCGAGTGTAGATGTCCACAATGGTGAGGAAGTACTCTGCTCCAGCAGCTCCAAGCTTCAAGGGGCCCACCACATCCATCACCACCTCATCAAGTGGTGCCTTCGCCGTTGTCTCCGAGCTATGGAACGGGTAGCGGGTGAACTTGGTTTGCATGCATGTTGGACAGCCAAGCACCTCATTGGGCTCCCCCTTGACACGTATCCCACTGACTATCTCTTGCTTAACTATCTACTGCAAAATGGGCAATGCCACATGCCCCATTCGCCGATGCAAGGTCAGCCAATCACACTCTCCCGTAGCGGAAGTCGGGTTGGAGAAAGCGGCACTCGCAATCGTGCCCCACAAGCTCTCTCCTGTCTCCTTTGCCGCTGCTGCTTTGCTAATCTTAGGCTTCTCCTCCTCATTTCCACCACCTTTGGCTGCTGCACCACTCTCCTTGGGTTCACATGCCTTGCTGGTCTCTCCAAGATTGCACTCCTTCGAGTCACTCTTGGTGTCACTTTGTTTTCCGTGATCACCGCCACCAATCGCTTCACTCTTGGTGCTGACGCTTGCTGCCACTTGCCTTTTTTTAGGCATAGGGACCACTGGGATTTGCCACATCTCATTGTAGATGTCCCTGTCCTCATGAAGGTCCCAAAGCTTCCGCTCTCCAAGCCTCGCGGTATAGGTTTTGGATCCCTTGGAAGATGTGTCCATGCCGGCCTTTTGCAAACGCCGCACGGAAATCAGGTTGGCTGCAAGGTTGGGCACCCAAAGCACGTTC